ACATTTTCAATGGGACTGTTGAAAGCTTTTAAAAGAAGTGAGGCAAACAGCACTCTGTTTTATGTTTTAGGCTAGCCTGTGCAGCCAGATTGCAGGGCTGGTCCTTGTCTTTGTTCCCAAGAGGCCAACTCTGCATATAAATCAGCTTCTATTGCTTCCCATAGCCCCTTCAACATCTCCCTAAAGTCTGTGTGATTTCTGTGCCTGGGAGAGACAGTCGAACTCACCCAGGTAATAAGAACAGCTGAATCCATTGATAGGGAATCAGTATTTATTTCAGTTTCATAATTGTATTTTGCAATGGATTTGGACAAGGTAAAAAAGACAGGAAAGTTCTCCTGCTGACGTATTTTTACCTTTGGGGTAGCAGGTAGAGGACTGTATCCTTCCTGCAATGACAGGGTTCTGTACAATGACTTTGTGCTTCTGGCTAGTGTAGACAAATTATTGTGTCCTTGAATAGCTTTTAACAAGGCTCACAGGATAAACCGTGAGTAGCTTCAGTATCTTCAAAAATTTGAAGAAATTGAACAAGAAGGAGGGGCAAGGTACAAGGTATCAGCTAATAAGAGTCATGCAGAATGCCCCATGTTGGGAAAAGCTTGGCACCTCTCTCTTCTTGGAATTAAAAAAACTCCACATTTTTTCAAAATAAAAGAGTATGCAAACACTGGATTCCATTAGATAGTCTCATAATTTAAGACATAATTGAATTGAAGTCTCTGGATGTGATCAGTGTCACTGGCTTGGTTGGACATCCAGTTAAATATCTGCACATGTTTCTTTGTGTTTGTTGTTACTTGGAAAATCATACTCTGAGCTGTTAAAAGTATAGATTTACCCTGCTGGGGTGATTGTTCTAAAGGACTGTTTAGTATCTGGAGCCGCACAGGCTGTTAGTTTCCATGGTGTAATCCAGTTAAGCAATCATTTCCTGGGAAGTTTCCAGTAGTAGCTGAGTCAGTAGCCTGGCTGACTACCAGGAAAAACTAATTTATCTTTCTAACAAACCAGGCACACTGGCAGAAGAAGAAGGTGCTTTGTGGAAGAAATTCTTGCTTTTGCAGTGATGATAGGATAGTTCCTGGTTTCCTTTCTTTTCAGGGGCTTTAAATTGATGCTGGGAGTGCTGGAAGTTGACATTTGAGGGATATTCACAGGAGTTTTGGAAGATATTGGGAGCAGCTCATCGTTGACAAGAGTGAGGAGGTGGTACTCCTTCTAATCAGTCAGTCATCAGAGGGGTGTGGAGTGATGCTCTGGCTGCTGCTGCCATGAGTTGTCTGTTACCAGCTTCCCTTCCCTTGCTACCCCTGAGCAGGAGCCGAGGGTCACATCGCCTCCGGCTGGAAGAAGGAATGAGTGCAAGTCCATCATATCAGGCCTGGGCATGCAGGAGAGAGACCAGATCCATGACTGCTGTCTTTTTCTAGTATGGGGGAAGGTGAAACTCAGCTTTACCTCTTACTTGACCTAAAGACACTGTAAATTAAGAATTGCTGGTATGTTACATGGTGTGCAACACTGCTATTGCATAGTATCCCAGTGCTTGCAGAATGGCAAAGAAAAGCTGAAATACTTTTTCTGTAAATTGGACTGTAAATAGGAAAGCTGACAGATAATTGCCTACAAAGAATTTGTTAGAGTGAGTTTAGGCCTACCTACTTAGTTTCACTCATTTTGAGGTGAAGGTGGTGAAATTGTTGTGTTCATTTGTTATTGAGCTTGTTATGCATTCTCAGTATATTATTTTTAACAGAAATATGAGCAGCAGTTTGAATATTAAAATCACATTAAAAAATTAAAGTAGGGACCAGTCTTGAAGACTGACATCCTACAGTAGATCTCCCAATGTTTTATCTTTTGTTTAGTATCCGATACTGCTTGAACTGTAGAGAACACTTCTAAATTACTAGAAAAAATGTAGTTAATCGCCTATTCTCTAACATTACTCGGCAGCCATGTGAAGTGAGACTTGAAGTAAATAGTTCAAAAATTATAACTGTGCATTGACAGATAAAAATTTTGAGAAACAAGTTTAATAACAGGACAAAAGCTTTATCAGTGGTAGCTCGGTATTTGATCAAAGCTGATGGTATGATGAATGACAGTTGCAGAGTTATCTTTCAGAAAGGATTGACTCAATGTAGAACATCCAGAATTCACTTTTTGTCCAACCTGATGTTTTCTCAGAACCATGCAGAAGCATATAATAGCACATTAAAACTGAAAAACTTGCCATGAAACTGAAAAAGCAAAAAATATAGCAAATAATTTGTCCCACACTCATACTATACCACACCTGAGATTTGATCAGACATCATCTAGGCAACACAGCTCAGTGGTCAGAGCCAAAGCTGTAGGGAAGCCTGTCTTTCTCTATTAATCATACAAGTGCCTAGGATTAGTCTTGGTACATTTCAGCAACACTGTTGAAGTTTCTAAAACCTGCAAGGCATTTGGTGGCAAAAACTGGGCCAAACCAGCTTTCTAAAATCCTTTGAGCATGAGGTTAACTAGATGTAAGTAATTTGGAGTTCTAAAAAGCTTTTAGCAGTATTCAGTTGCCAAAATAATTTTTGATTTGGCAATAATTTGGAAAATGAAGGCAAAGAGTGATAATAAAAAGTAGACTTAGTTTAGATCATATTAGACTAGGTTCTAAGAGAGGTCATAACGTTAGGAGGTATTTGGATCACTTGTACTTCAGACAGGAGTAAGATTGTCAAGAAATAGCTCTAGTGGTAAGAACAGTAAACTGAAATATTAGTCTGTTGCAGTGACATAATGAAAACAAACAATAGAATTATTTCCTCTTAGAAACTCTTACTCCTTTTCAGTTAAAGTACATTTTAAGAGAATAGTGTCGCTACATGTGTAAAGTCCACCAAATGTCCATATTCAAGACAAAGACAGCAAAGTGTTGTGACTAGAGTCTTGCAGGTAGTGATTAGAATTAAGGGAAACCGTTAAAGATTTCTTTTATTCAAAAAGAATATACTTATATTAAAATGTAGCATGTCACAGGCATAACTGTTCTTGTTGTGAGCACTGAAGAGCAAGTTCAGAACTAGGTATCTGACCATAGCATAGGGTTGGGGATGTAACTTGTAAGGCACTGTGCTAAGACTGAAGTAGTATCAGTCTGGGCCTGTCTGTTCTGTCCCTGTTTTACACAGAAGACTGAGAGGACCGCATCGCTATTTCTGGCTCCTTTTGTGAGCTTTGTCCTGTCCACAAGTACCGAGAGCTGTCATTTGCAGGTAGTTTGCACAAGCAGACCAATGCAGTTTGTGCTGTCTATGTGGGCTCATCTTTCCTTCCTGCTGGGCTTCTGCCCTCCCTTTCAAAGTCTTGTTCATGTTGACTTCATAAGCCTTAATGCAATCTGCCTTGGATATATTAGGCAAACAGTATTCCTAACTAACAAATAGTAAATAAATGTAATAGTAAACTGAGACTAGTTTGGGTTTTTTTCATATGCATAAGTGCTTTACAGAGCATGAAGATCTAAAACTCGGGAAGTATAATATCAAAGTATGTACTCATTTTTTCCGCTATTATTTGTGGTAAAGAAAAGACAGATGCTTTCTTATACTTGTTTCAATCTAGTTTGTTTATGGTGACCATATGTATGTGGATCATACATTGTATTTTGTATATTTTTCCTTGGTTTGACAGGACTGCATTTATACAATGGATAAGCATGTAATGTTGGCATTGTTGTCAATTAGCAGGGTAGCTCTAATGTTCAGCAAATCTATTGCATATGCTTCTTTGGAAAAACAGATGGTTCTACAGTATAACCAAAAGAATTGATCTTCACAGTAAGAAACCTATCTGAACTTTGGAAGGAAGAAACATGTTTTTCCCCGTGGCAAATACACTGTGAAGGCAAAGCACGGAACTCCTTAGGTTCTTCTGCCACCAAAATGACTTTCAAATTCCTCTTTACTCCAAGATTCTCAGACAGAAGCATACAGAAATGTATTTTTGTATTTTGGTGACCAGGAAATAATAATCAATCGGCCTTCTCAGATGAAGAACTTCTATAACATTATTACCTTGAAACAAAACAGTTTTTCAAGTTAGACCAATCTGAAGTTTTGGCTACAACTTTTTGAACAGTGCAGGCTCACTAGGAGTCACTCATTTTCTAGCCTTCAGTTACCAGATTATTTGCAGATGACAGTAGGAAGATGCAGAGTTTAAATGATCAAGCTACATCTTGCCAGTTTTTTTTTCCCCTCCTTTCCATGTTGGTTGTTTCTCAAGGGCAATTCTTAGAAGTCATTTTTCTGGACCAGTTGTTTTCAGGGGTAATTACCATATTTACATCTAAATGAATTTAGTAGAAAGAATAAGGTAACGCATTTCTTTCAGGAAATCTTTTGATTACAGACCTTAGATTGTGTATCTCACTTCATATATATTTACATACATGCATTTAAATACCTATTTTGATCTGTTGTGCATAATCTAAATGTGGTAAGGTTAGCAATAGCAAAAATTATAAATTAAGGGGAAGAAAAATACTAATCTGTTTTCTACCAAAAACCTGCATGCACATAGAATAAGGTAATAATTTTCTTAACATTTATACAAAAAATACAGCCTTTCAAAGTTACTTTTGATATAAAAGAGAAAATGAGAGGTAAAAATGGCTTGTGTTTCTATCGGAACACAAAATGCTTTTCTGAGAAATTTTTAGTGAGTATTTTCATTGTTATTTTAATTTTTTTTTTTTAAATAAAAACCTGTTTCAGTCACAATGTGAAATGTATGATAGTAGTTATTGGCAAAGATATTATTTGATACCATTCAAACTTTTCCAAGCTGAAGGGTGTATATTGCATGTTCTATTAGTGTTTAGAAGCACGTACATTACTTTTTATGACATATGACTTACTCTTCTTGAGGTGAGTGAGTATGTGAATGATACTCTTTTAAAGATGTGTACATCATGATTATTTTGAATGTTCTTTTTATGTATTCCATAGCAAAAGACACCATCTGAATCATTCAGTGGGCGAGAGAAGAGATCAAATTCACAGTCCTACATTGGACGACCCATTCAGCTAGACAAGATCTTACTGTCCAAGGTTAAAGTGCCTCACACTTTTGTCATCCACTCTTACACACGGCCAACAGTTTGCCAGTACTGTAAGAAGCTTCTCAAAGGGCTTTTTAGACAGGGTTTGCAGTGCAAAGGTAAGTAAACGCCCTTTAGGAACATAAAAGCTAAGCATAATAAAATTAGTAAATTAGCTAAATTAGCATTTCAGTAGTTACTATGTAGACTTACTCATTATTTCTTCACTAAACCGTCTAGGTGTAGGCACATATACAATTATGTAGGATTAAGCTGGAGTCAAAATTACAGTAATTGCTGTTCTGCAGGAGCTGGCTGCATGGCTGTTCATTCTTACCCTGCGATATATCTGCAGTAGCTTGCATCTTTTTCATTCAGGTGTAAATTATCTTGTATTTGGCACTAGGTGAGCATGTGCTCACAGGCAGTTACAGAAGAATAGTTAATGTAAAAGACTGTATTCTTATCTTCATTGTTTTCAGTTGACAGTCTTGTGCTTGAATTGAAGCATGTGCCTGAGTCCCAGCCGTTCAGGGTTTTGGGGGCATTGTAATGGAAATAAAATAAGATGAGTTTATATAAGAATTTAAAACCACATTTTTTGAAGGTGACTAATATGCTCTCAAGTCTCCTGGTGTTGTACCTTAGTAGGTGCCAAAGTGAATCAAGCCCCTTGGATTATAGCCTGGATTATTGGCTCACTTTAGCTAACCAGAGTGCCCATAAATACAAAGCATTGTGCATGCTATGGTGATAGATAACGTTGGCTAACAGATCCTTAAAATCACCTTCTTTCTATTAAAATAAACAATAACTATCATAGAATTAATGAGTATACTTTGTGTTGCTTCTTTGAACTAACACCCTGCAAAGATTCAAAGTTGCATTCATTTAACTTCAGAGGTGATTCTGATCTAACTAAAGCAAAATCTCTATGAAGACATCACCTGTTTCAGTTCATTTTGAATCCCAATGACATAGCAAATATTAACCTGATTTTAAAAAAAGAATATTTGCGTACAGTTTGTCACTGCTGTACCTCAGTTGGTTTTTGGATCAATCTGAAGTTAAATAATTACAAGGTTATAGACAACCTTAGTATATTTCTTCCTTGCTGACTCCTTGCTTTTCCAGGTATGTTAATAAGTTACAGCTCTTAGTTTAAGTAAAATGTGTTCATAAGCCAAAAGAAAACAGTTAAGATGACATCTAATAAAGTGCTACTTACACATACGAAAAAAGTAAAGGTAGAGTGGAATAAAAATACCTGGAAAATAAGGAAGGTATTGAAGCAACACTCCACTGAAAGCTGTCTAGAAGTTGCTTTGAGATGTAAAGAACAAATATTTTCTCACTTATAATTGTTGGCTAGGGTTCTGCTGTTTCAGTTTTCAGTCATCAGTATTTGGTATGTAGTCAGTCTCTTAAGCTGCAGTGGATATACTGCAGCCCAGTCTGCTTCTTTCACTGGAAAAGCAACTCTGGCTTTCCAACCAAGTACTTGGGTCTCCCCATCACTCCCCTAGGTGAGTTGAGCACGTGCTTCGGCTGCAGCTCATGCCTCTACCCAACTGCCCTCGGTAATGCTTTCCTTTCCCTTCAGGGAACACGCTTCTAGCATCTTCATCCTGTGCCTTCCACTGGCAGGTGGTGTGCAGCCAGGCTAACAAACGCTCTCTGGACATGTTAACATTGTGTTAGTGAAAAATGGTAGGGCTTGACATTTACAGGCTGGATAGCAGGAAAAATATAATTGTGTCACAGAAAAAGAGAAGTAATTTTACTGTATCCCTTTTTATCTTCACAGACTGTAGGTTCAACTGTCACAAACGCTGTGCTCCTAAAGTGCCAAATAACTGCCTGGGGGAAGTTGCCATTAATGGAGGTAAGGTGCCTTAACAATTGTTTCTGTCATTGTTTAAACCATCAGTTAAATGAAAGAGAAATGTAAAACTGTGACATGTATAAAGATATGTTTTCCCATTGCTTGGGAATGGCCTTTACTCTGCACTACTTCTGTTGTACATCAAAGACAAAGTGTGGGAGGAACCCTACAAATGGCTTATACACCATCAGCTTGAAGTGTGTGTCTTCACATAGGTGGCACTGACAGACAGGATCAGCTGTGCCACAGAGGTGGTATCAGCAAAAAAATGGTCGGGTGATCATGGCCTGTTGAATGCAGAATGCCAGAGTAAAGCAAAAAGCCACACGCATGAGAAGTTGGCATTCACCTGTCAGATACAAGCACAAAATTACTTTTTAATCTGGGGGAAAAAAAAGTTTTAGGATAAGCTTCCTGAGAAGGAAAAGCAAACCTGGAAGAACTGGGAATGCCCTCCAGGAAAAAATTCCACCGCTTGCTGGTGGCGTAAAACTAATCGTATCAGTTGCCAGAAATAAAGGTTTGAATATCTGCTGATTTTCCCATACATGTGCTGTCAGTTTTGTGTCAAGTATAGGAATCTATGGGTAGGCTTGACAGACGGTACTGGAGAAAAAAAGGGTGGTTGTAGATGTGTTGTTGATTGCCTTGAAATGTCACTTTTCGATGTGATAAGGGAATGAGAAGTGTGCTGAAGTGTTCAGTTTCTAATGCATATTACCATGTTAAGTTGTCAGTCTAAACTGCTTCTGAGGTTAATAAAGTATTGCCTTACTAGGCATGCTTTTTCAAACTTTAAATCGATGATCTACTTTATTGAAGAGATACCAAGAATTTCCAAAATTAGGAATCTAAACTAATATTTTTAATAGTATTTCTCATAGTAGTGTGACTGTATTACTACAAAATTTTCTGTTCATTGGCAATTAGTGTAGGCAAAAATATTTCACATGCTGAGTATCCAACTCGTAACATGATAAGGTGCATGATTTTCTGGAAGACTGATGTTGCACTCCTACTGCATATCCTTTCTGATACACCTCAAGCTGGACTCTTGGAGTCACTATTATTATTTTATTTTTTTAAATCTTTACACCATTTATCCCTCAGTTAACCATTGACCATCCCATAACATAACTATTTCTTCAGGAGTGCAAGTAGCGATGCTTATGGAAATTTATGGCTTGATTTTCAAATCCAAGAGCTAAACATACACCATGATATGTTAATTCCATTGATAACAGCACAGAGTTTTCCCTGAGATTTGCAGTCAGAGAAAGTAACTACATCCGCTTACAAATGATAAAATTTTTCCTGCAGAAACAGAAAATATTTCCTGTAGAAACAGAGTTTTAAAAAGTGTTGTAGGAATAGCAAAGAAAAAGCCTTGCACTGTCAAGTGTCATTCATGACTGGGTGACTGTTTCTGCAGTTTTAGAGAGGAGTACAAAACAGGATTGATCAAAAGTACGAAGAGCAGACAGGAAAGCAAGCCTTGTTTCTGGACACCTAGACTAAATTAACAAAATTTACATTTGTTTCTGACTTACTCCTTGAAGTTCCTTCTTTCCATCTGAGGCAGTTGTCTTTCATCCATCCACCACACCTTCTCTGCCCCCTCCCCACCTTTGGCCCACAAGCAACATGCTGCTTTTGTTGACTTGTCTCCTATGCATGAATCTGATGCCGGTCTGATGGGAAGTGATGGTTTGTCTGAGGAAAAGTTGAGTGAGGAAAGCTTGTGCAACATGACTTGGAGTGAGAACATGTACTCCATGCTTACTCCAAGTGTACTCTTTGAAGCTCTCCACCTTAAAAGTAAAGGAATTTGGCTTTTCCCCACCAAATAATATCCATAGCATGGTATCCACAGTGTCAAAGTAGAAGTCTTAATTGTGTGTCCTAAATGACTGATACAGGGTCCTTAGGATTATCAAAGGCAATTTCATCCTGGTATCTCATTTCTATTTTTACAGTAATTTGGTTCACATTATTTTCAAACTTAAATAAAATACAGTATCTGTCACTCTGTCCATCTGCTGTGTGATACATCTTCCCCGAAATAGTAAGTGAAGGAAGCGCTGAAGCCATAAAATTCCAAGTATGGTCTCATTAATAAACACATTATATACTAAATGTAGGAGGTTATTTTTAACTGATTGAGGGTTTATTAAAAATCGAGATTAAAAAAGTGTTGGAGGAATAGCAAAGAGCGAGCATTGCACTGTAAAGTGTCATTCATGAATAGATGACGGTTTCTGCTAGAGATGAAGTATAACATGTCTCTTAATCACAGATCAGTAACTTACATCCAAATATTTTAAGACTACTGTACATGGAAACAAACCTTTCAGCTGTGCACTTCCAAGTTGAGTGAAATGCCTTCAATTCAAAACATTTTGCTGTCAGCCAGTTCAGTGTGCTTTTTTTGGGGGGACATTATCTATATTAACTGTCAAGAACCTTCCTCCACACAATTAGGCAAACGTTTCTCAGTGAAAATATATGGTGTCTTTCATGTGATTTTAACCTTACTTCAGATTTCTGAAACACTGCAAACATCTCAAAAGCTAATGCTGTCTTTACTATCTCACAGGACTGATGACTTTGAGGTGTTAGATTACAGCCTGTATAGCAGCAGGCTGAGTTTCAACAAAATGCCTTTTTTTTTTGTGATGGTGGTGGTGTTTTTGCAGTTTTTGGGTTGTTTGGTTGGTTGGGTTTTTTTGGGGGGGAGAGTGTTTATTTTTGTAATGTAAGTCCATGGGTAAATAAGTTTAAATTTTTCTCTTCCTTTGTGTCTTCCAGATAAATCCATTCAAAAGCAGCAGTGCAATAAAAAGTTATTTCGTACTTTGGTCTTGCTTAGGCATATCTAATCTTGAAACTGGAAAGTTTAACATATTGCAAATATAAGCTGGAAGATACTGTTAATACTATGCCATAGTCAAATAAGTTAAATCCTAAGTCTTCGTATTTTTTCTAGGCTATCCTACATTGGACTTTTTGATACTTATTTAATATTTATTTTCTAAAGGCAGTGAGTGTTAATTTCAATAGTATGGATTACTGTGCATATTGTGCAGCCTTCACAGAGGTGAAGGTGCAAAGTAAATATCTTTTTTCCCAAAAAATATAGTTCACATTATAAGTAATTGTCTTGGGAGTTATTTCAATAGCTCATCATCATGTCATCATCATATTACAAAATTCTTAGTTTTGAAATTACTGCTTTTCTAGCATCGGTTTGCAGCTGTGGCCTGCCAACAGCCATCAAGCCAGTATGCAACATTCACGTGATATAGAAAATCTGCCAGAAAATCTCAGAAGTAAATCTCCTGAGTATAGAATGTTTGATAGAAGTCCATGGATAAGAAATTCTACTTTGACTTTGGCATTTTTTAATAGAAAGTTGTATTTTTGAAACTATTTTTGTTTGATGCATTTCCAGTTTTTTGTAGTGATCTTCTAAATGACTGGTTGAAAACCACACTTCACAGCACACATAGAATACTGACTAGAGGTAGACCCAGGCAATAGAGTTCAAAAGAGAACCTGAGTTTTTCTGAAGCTCAGAATGTGTCAGGATGTTGTGATTGGAGTATTGTATGTTTTTGGATAATAACTTCAGAAACGATATTCCAGATCTTCTTAGTCCTGGGGCTGAGTCTGATGTGGTCATGGAAGAAGGAAGTGACGACAATGACAGTGAAAGAAACAGTGGTTTTATAGATGACATGGAAGAATCTATAGCTCATGATTCTGAGATGTCAATGACAGGATGCCATAGTGACAATGGGGAAATGCAGGATGCCGATCCGGATCACGATGAATCTAACAGGATGATCAGGTGAGCTGGGCAGTGAGTGTACCTTCCATCTTCCTTTGTATTTATTTGTAAGTATCTTGTCTAGGGCTCAAGGGGCAATCTACGTGGACAGTATTCTCACTGAGAATGGAGAGAGCTTGTGATATGTGGTAGTTCTGAAGCTGCAATGAGATTGCTTCACTGAATATATGCATTATGAATTTAAGAGAAGTTTAAAAATGATTGTCAAGTTGAAGTAGCAACTGAAAACTGATGCACGAGTAATTTTTACAGGTCTGTTCTCTTATCAGAATTATGTTGTGAAACTATTTATGCATGAGCAATAGAGAACAATTTATTTTTTCTACTTATTTGTTTTCCCAAGCATTTTTTCCCTGACTAATAGTGCAATGTCTGGTTATTTAAAAGAACAAGCATAAAAATAAAAAAAATGTGTAAGTGACTGTGGTAGAATTGGCTCTAGATAAATTGTTTGCATTTTTAGGTACCTTTAGAAAGAAGGAAAGTTTGACAAACTTGAAGTAGCAGTTTGAATCAAGTTACGAAATAGATTAGTAGTTTGAATGACTAATCAGGAAGGAAAATAGGAATTGAGTTGTGCAACTTACCTCAGAATGTCTGAAGAGAAGAAAACGTTATTCACTTACTGGAACTGTACAGAATAGTAGGTTTTTTTTGAAGGTAGGGATTGTTCATTGTCAGGAAACCTAAAATGAATTAAGATCTTTCAGTTGTAATTTCATTGATGAAAGAGATCTGTACCTTGAAGAATTACAGAATATTTTTCTTTCACAGATCCCAGTTTGACCTGCTTCCTCTTTTATTTTGCTTAATGGGAGTCTGTTTCAGTAATACGTTCCCCTTAGCTCTCTGTTACTAGCATATACCTGTTGCACTAATAGAAGCAATCCATTTCAATAATATGCAGTTTTTCCTCCCCCAGCAATGAACTGTTTTTCCTACTGTCGTATTCATCTGCGTAGACACTATATATAGACACCTTGTATCATTGGAATATAAGCCTGTGCTTATATTACAAAATCAGTGTCATATAACATTTTGAATGTCCAAGTTGTATTAAATGGACAGCATTGCAAGTTTTCAGAATATAAATATGCAATTATAATTAATAAGAACTTTGATAACCAAGGTACATGTTTTACTTAGTTGAGGGGCATCCCTGTATTTCCAGTAATACCTTACCCCAGTTATTTCTTAGGGTAGTCTCCATATCCATGGATTATTTTCAAGTGATCTATAAAACGCAAATAAAAAAGTAAACCTCTTGTCAGTACAGACAAGAATAGTTAAATAGGAACTGCAGCTCATTTGATCATTTTAGGCAAAAAAGAGGTGTTAACTGTATGTTACAGTCTTAATGAAACTTTAAGACAGCACACTTTTGCATTTGATTGGAAACTACCAGTTCATAAAATGTTTATTTCCAAGATGCAGTACAGCGAAGCAGGGCCATCTGCAGACATCCACAGTCACAACAACTGTGGAAACTTAAGATATTATTCTTTTCCTGGGCTTTTTCTGCCCTTTTTTGTTGGAGTTGTTGCACCAGCAGCTTTGCCAGCAGGGCAGAACGCCTGAGCTCTCTGTGCTGTGTTTTCACTTACAATGCAGCATCTCTGTTTAAAGTTCTGCCAGAAATAACTAAGCATTTAGGTTTAGGACTGAAGGAGATTTTGAGTCCATATTCCACTACGCAGAAACTGCTTTAGGAATGGTGAACTCAACAGCAAGGAAAGTGGGAAGATGGGCTTGGTTACTTCTTATACATCTCCAACTAGATATTCCAGATTTTATCTGATGGTGCTATCAGGCATACTGTCAAGTTCCCATGCCTTCCCGACTTACTGTGTGTCAGCCAAGTCATGGAAAGTTTCAGTGTGCATGCGCCAGAGTGCAAGACAATGGGACTTTGCTTCAAGTCTTTGAGGATAAAATGTGTTAGCTTAAACCTCTTTCTCTGAGAGGTTCCAGCAGATTCTCTGCTGTACCCTGCCAGGGTACGTGCAGCTAGGCAGCTGACACATTTTGTACTCTGTAAAGCATCATCCCTCTGTTGTGTGTTTGAACCCAAGAAAGATCACAGGACAGTAATCTGATGGACAATGTTTACTTAGGTTATGGGAGATTCAAGATCAAGTACTGGTGTGAATCATGCATAGCACAGGATTGAACTATGGCTCCCACACCCTAAGTGAGGCCCTAATCATTTGCCCATTTGAGTGTGTGTGTGTGTGTGAGAGGCCTTCAGAAGGTCTCTGACGTTCTCCTGGTGTAGCATTAAAATTTTTTTAATTCATAATCTAAAGATACTTGGAATGACAAAACAAAATAATGTCCAGTCCAGGTCTAATAGTGATGATAAATATAAATGTGGATATGTAGATATATATTCTGATTTAAAGGAATTTTTTTCTTTTTGTCCAAAGTTACCTTCTTTTTAAAAGCCTTTATTGATTTATTCTTAAGCCCTTCAACCAGCAACAATATTCCATTAATGAGAGTGGTACAGTCTGTGAAGCACACAAAAAGGAGAAGTAGCACAGTAATGAAGGAGGGTTGGATGGTTCACTATACAAGCAAGGACACACTGGTAAGAAATGTTTAAGGAAGAGCTGGTCTTACTCTACATACTATAGATAATACAGAATCAAATCCTAACAGTACTTTGGTAACTTGCAGTTACTCATTTAAGCCATTCTTTGCAGTATTTGTGATCCTAAAGTCCTGACTCTTGTCATAACTGAGGACTGGCACTGCTTGTAAGAAACAGGAGACAGTTAAAACACACAAAGAGTAGCTGAATATGTCAGTTGCATTATCATAGGCAGCCAAATGTGAAGACAATCTGAAGGAAGGAAAAAATAATGTTAACACCTTAGGGGTTCTGGAAGGTAGCTTTACCTTCCAGCTGCAGTCTCCTAGATATCTTACTGCTAGGTGAGTTGAGACTTTGGTAAAACAGATTTAGTGCAGAAAAAAGTTATTTTCATTCCAACCTGCTAAAACAGGAATAAAGACTTCAGTATGTGGCCTTCTAAAGTTAGCTGGGGTGTTATAACTGATACAAAAAGGAAGTTTAATTATTTTAGCAGCATACCTGTAGCAAATTGTGCCAAGTGTAATGCAGACATTGAAGTGACATTTTAGATTTTTAAAACTTGGACAATTTGAACAGAGCTAGATTATTAAGGAGAGAACAGAGGGTGGCCCTATAAATCCTAAATTCAAATATAAAGTCATCATAAAAATCTTGTAATAGCAGGTGAATCTTTATAATTTACATTCATCTCTTCAAACTTAAGTGAAACATTTTGGAAGTGATGCTTTTGAGAAATGAACATTTCATTAATTTACTTGGAAAACGCTAGAAAGATTTTTCCATTGTTTTTCATTGCAGAGGAAACGACACTACTGGAGACTGGACAGCAAATGCATTACACTTTTTCAAAATGATACTGGAAGCAAGTATTACAAGGTAAGGAATATTTTTTTCAATCTGTTTTTGTACCAGCAGAATATAATGACTAAATTGCTGAATTAATAGATACTTACTAAAAGTGCACTAGTAGCATAACTTTGATCTATTTGTTTTCATTATTTAAGCTTTGTATATGTGTTTTGCCTTTCACAAACAAGCCTCAGATCAGAAAGGTGTCAGCTAACAAGGACCTGTAAAATACATGTTGTGAAAATGGAAGGTTTTTAGACAGGGGGAAATTCAGTACCAGCGACAAATTCTGCCAAGAAACTCATCTGACATTCTGTCATTCATAATACAAATTCTTTCCAAACAATTAGGTATAGTATATACTATTTTAATTCTGTCCTTTGGACATAATGTTGTGATTTGGATTGTAAAAGATTGTTTTAATGCTCATATCCTTTTAGCTGAGGCAATTAAAGTCCTTAGGCATTACTGCAATAAGTTTTAATAATGGAAAATATTTTTTTCATATGGCTTCCTGTCAGTGAAATATGTCAGTGAAACGTGCCCTAAGTGTTATTCAAGACGAAACAATCGAGTTTACGCCTGTGTGAAAGGTGGATTTGGAATCTTAATGTTGAATAGATTTATCCTGCAAATAAATTACTTTAAATAAGCAGTCAACAGGGTTTGACTTTCTAGTGGAGTTCTGTTGATATATGGATGGTCCTGCTCTTTTCTGATGGACCCTCATTGCTCTCTTTGATAAGTTTAATTAAATAATTAAAGTTCTACTTGGTCTTGGAAGGAAACATTTGGTATTTTACCATCAACAGTCCTCTGTGTCATGGAGTTTCAGGTTACAAGAGCCTTTTTGTTGGTACAAGAAGCACGTGGTTAAAAGCAACAGCTAATGTCGTAAATTAAATAAAGTTCATGCTTTAGTTTTGGATGTTGATAATCTTTACACAGAAAGTAAAACATTTTTTCATTTTAGGAAATCCCATTGTCTGAAATTTTGTCTCTGGAACCTGCAAAAACTCTCACTTTGCTGCCTCAAGGAGCCAATCTTCATTGTTTTGAAATAAGCACAGCTAATATAGTCTATTATGTTGGAGAAAACACAGAAAACCTCTCAAGTGTTCCATTTAATAACAGTGTTATCACCAGTGGTATTGGCATCGATGTAGCTCGAATGTGGGAGATGGCAATACAGCATGCCCTGATGCCCGTCATCCCTAAAGGGGCATCAACTGGGTCAGGACCCAGCCTGCACAGTAAGTTTATTCATTTCCTCCATTTCAGATAAGTAGAATCCTATCAGAAGTGACATTGGTCAATCTTCTGCACACATTGAAAGGAAGTATTGCACAGCTAGTAAAAGCTATTCTGTCATGGCTTATCACCTCTCTGCATATTATTTTAAACACCACAGTTTCTCATCCGTGTGTTTCCAGTTTATACTAGGACACCTGTATTAATATACAAGATGCAGATTTGTTAGCAAGCAAATAGTTGTTATATTCGTAAGGCATCTCATCCACATTCGTGTTGCTGACATGAGTAATAGCCTCCTTGTGCAGAGGCATGAAGTTCTCTGAGCTCCATTTGGAAACTGATAGATTTTTCCCATCGTGACTGTAATTTATGTTTCTAGCTATCTGCAGAAGCAGCTCTTTGCATTTTAGGTCACTGCAGCATAGATGGCATGCTCCCTTTCATCACATTTGGCTGTACAACTGCCGTGAACATTGTCCCATGCTGAGATTAAATGAGCTGAAGTGTGAAGAACAGCTGTTCTAAGCACAACAAGGCATGGATGTTACCCAGGACCAAAAGGACTGAATATATCTTTGCCTCCACTTTACATACCTTTGGGTAGTTCTCTAGCAAAGATGACAGCTTATGTAAACCAAACGTGAAACTCGTTTAAATCTAACTTAGGTATTGGTAACAAAGTAGCACAAAGCAAACAGTTCCCCTGTACTAGGCATGTGCTGCTGTGGTTGCTCTGCTACTTGTACTCAGCCTAGTCAGTGTAAAGCAAATTTGGTTATGTCTAGACAACTTGGATTAGACCTTTTGTTACAGTATACACCCAGTTTAGCACTTGACATCTGGATGCTATTAATGCAGCATGAAATGCTAATGAGACCGCAAGCCCTTCAGAAACCAAGTAATACAACAGGCTGTGGTATTACATCTCCAGGCACAACAGCTCACATATCAGATTAGATCAGATCAGCAATGTCCTTTGCTTTCTCAACCAAGTTCCTGCATAAAATAGTGTCAAATTCTGGATGTCATTTCAGTCAGGCTAGTTGCCTGGTACCCCTGGTTTGAAGCCCAGCGTAGCTAAACGAATCACCTAAAATGCTGGACTGGGGATGACAGCTGTCTTCTCTCCCTCTTAGGAAGTCTGAAAATTTTCTTTACAAGGTAGTAGTCATCTTTGGCTTTTTGTGTGAAAATTCAGGTCATCTGAGACCTTTAGAACAAATTCCTGTGGGGAATGAGAATGACAGCAATGTTCTGTCTTCTGCTAAAAGTGTTAAGACTTGTCCATGTCTTTGTCCGTGCACTTTTTCCTGTAAACACAAAGCAGTACATACATTTGAAAATAAATTGGCAATGATAAATCTATGTAACTGAAACATTCTATTCCCTAAACAGTCTATTCCTAAGGAAAGGATGAGCAAATAAGCCATATGGGGCAGAAGTTACTCATGCTGCTTACTGCAACTAGGAGAGGTGCTGATGGGTAGTCTTCGGTGTATAATACAGGCTTTATAGTAGAGGACACTGATTTTGATGAAGCGGAAATCCATACTAAGAAAATGAAAAGTCAGTATGAACAGGATTCTAGGCAGAGATAGGAGACAGAAGCGGTAATGCTCCAAAGAAGGATTCTTTCCTCCCCAAAATCACATCTTTGTGTAGTACAGTTAGCAATATGCGTATTCTCGAGTTTTATTGAACCCCTCAGTAGATTTGCAGTTCAAAATGCTTACGGCAGCATCCTAAGCTCTGGATTTGTAGAGGTTGGATCTGATGTTTGTTGTATTAAAGCACAAGTGCAAGTTTTTGTTTCCATTATGTGTTTTAATAGTGTGTCTTAAACCAGTTGAAATGTGTATTACTTTTAACAGTATGCAGACCGAGTTGAATGCATATTGGCCTTCATCTGAATACCATCAAATACATTGTAGGTGACATTATAAATAAAAATGATTATTAAATCCACTAAATAAAAACGATTTACCCTAGTTGCAGTTATGTTACTTGCATGAGGTATAAATCCTCAAAACAGAATGGAAAACAGCAATAATAAGCTTATAAATGGGAATGATGAGATACCACTATTAAAAAACTAATAATGAAATGTATAATTCTGTTATTTTCCATGCACTGCAAAACTGTTGTTCAAGTCACTTATTTGTGGGCTGGTGTAATTTTATATTGGCTGGTAGATGAGCAAGCTGACCTAAATGGTCCAATTTCTAGAGCTGTCACTAGATATTGATGTAATGTAAATGTCATTTCCTATTACTACGTGTTTGAACTAAAAGCACAGCAATCTGAAGTATATTTTACTTTCTTCCCCAGGGGATATATCCATCAGTATTTCTGTGTCAAACTGCCAAGTTCAAGAAAATGTGGTGAGTGTTCTCTGTATGCCTGTGCTAGACATGCTATGATTAAGCTTGCAAAGTCATTGATCTGTTTTGCAAAGAGGAATGTTAGAGGAGTTCCCATCAGCCATTTTTCGCTTACTTTGTGGAAATTAACAAACAACAAGCTTTACTTACTTTAGAGAAAAATCATCTTCATGGTACCTTTTCTTGAGACACAAGAATTGTGTATGGATAATTTCACTTACCACAGGTTTAAACTATGGATCCTTGCAGAATGTTAATTACGAAAAGGAAAAGCGAGCTGTAGTAGTGATTAGTTCATGGAATTTGTCAACTGAATTTTGTAAAATTAATCACAAGCCTCGATAAATATACTGTTTCCTGTCATCACTGAGAGATCAGATATTCTGTTGTACAAAGATGAAACTCTAACCAAAGAAAGTGTCACATATGTTGTTACACATAGGTAAGGAATTCTGGGTTTCTTTTACGCCAGAACTGTTAGACATAGGACATGTGGTCAAGGTAAACAGTCACACTGCTGGTTTTCTGTCTCATGGGCAGAAGAGATAAACAGGATTCGCTGCAGCCAAGTAAAGCTTTGGGACAGCTCTGGTATCTGCCAGAAAAAGATTGCGTGCCAGGGATGTGTCCATTTGTTTCCTAAGAAAAAGCAAGACAACCTTTATTATCAACTCCTTGCTGTGTTCTTTTACTCTTTGTTGTATATGTTGCTGGTTGAATATCAGGAAAATGAAACTGAGCTCCAAGATTTGAGGTTTGTTTGAGTCTCCTAAATGAATCTGCTGACAGCTTGTGCTTTAGCCTGTGTTTAGGCACTAGGAAATACTGAGACTTGAGACTCCCTCTCTGGCACAGATGGAATATTTTGCCCCTCTCAATGGACAGACGCAAAAAGCCAAAGCCCAGAATTGCTGATACTCACAAAGCTTTCTATAAAGTGAGAAACCGCTTGCGTTTCTGTGGCTGACATGAGCTAACAGAGGAACTTTTTCAAGAAAATTTTAAATTCGTAATTTCTGCCTTTTCATAAAACCCAGCAGTAATTCCCAGATCTGGGATCCTGGGGCATCTGGGTAGAATGTTGCTAACAAGACCCTCTTTATTTCCATGTGTATTTTCGACTTCAGATTTCACAAAGTTGAAGTGTAATGCTGCAGGCTGGGGGCTACTTGCTTGGAAGATGGCAGTGGCTGAAAGCTATCAAAGATTCAGCAGCTTTTACAGCAATTGCAGTTAATGTAGCTTTTAAGAAAACCCGTATGAATGTTTTTGGCAGATAATGTATTTTGAAATGTGCTATAGTAAATGTATGCTACTTCCCACTAGAAAAAGCAAATTAAATACAAATTTTTTTTCAATATCTCAGGGCTTAATATTTGTTATGTTTATATAAACAGGATATTAGCACTGTATACCAAATCTTCCCGGATGAGGTGTTGGGATCAGGACAGTTTGGAATTGTTTATGGAGGTAAGGCTTTGATGTGTTGTACAGTTATGCTTAAGATAGAAAAATTTATTGAATGGTGAAAGTATTTGGACTCTGAAATGTTTTGTTACAGAAATTAGCTGCCCATTGTTTTATATAATAGGTATACATTAAACAATGAAACTGGTTTTTGTTGACAAAGTTTTTTTGTAATTTGAAGTTTTCTACCCAGTAGTGTGTCAGTGTATATTAATAGCTTCATATTCTCTGTAAGTTCTAGTAAAGAAAACCCTGAAGTGCAGAAAACTGTTCTTTTTGAGAACTATAACGGACCAAAAAAAATTTCTTCTTCTTGGTGTTTTACTTGGCATGTTTTTGTGAGCTTTTTTCCTTTGTTTTTCAGTACTTTGTTAGAATTGTTTCTTCTTACCCATTTTTCCTCTCTTTTTCCTCCTTTTTTTCAGCAGTTTCTGGGGGCGTATTTATGTACAGCTGTTGTTTGAGACAGTGTGAAGTGAGAACTAACAACAGATTTCTCACTGAAGAATCTCTGTGGCTTTCTGATAAATTTGGGACATGCATTCACATGCCTAAAGGCGATCACTTATCGTTATTTGGTAGTCTGGAGCTACTATCGAAGGACTAAGCCTATAGCCTGCCAGTTGCAGAGAATGCAGCTTAAGTATATGAACAAGCGTGTATATATATATATAAAAGAAAGTTAACTTTGTATCTATATTGTTGAAATGCAGAGCTGACTTTCACATATGTGTATGTTTGTTACATGTTTAAACAGCTTCGTCCAGGTGATAATAAGAAAAGTTCTCTTGTCAAAGGGTAGAAAGAAGGGAAATGGCACAAATCTTTTAATGACTTAGTGATTTGATTCACTGCAAACCTATGGCCATTTGTACAACCCGGTGAAAGTAGAACCCTTTTCAGAATTAATCATGTTAATTGATAGAGGCCTTTTGTTTTGTTAATGCAGGAAAACATCGCAAAACAGGAAGAGACGTTGCCATTAAAATAATTGACAAACTAAGGTTTCCAACTAAACAGGAAAGTCAACTTCGTAATGAAGTTGCAATTTTACAGGTATTTTTCTATTCTTTTTTACTGTATTAACTCCATTTATACATTTCTATTCATACCAGATAATATGATAATTATTTTAATTGATAATCACTAGTATTTTTGCAAAAATACTAGTATTTTTGCTGCTTAATCTACATAAGCAACCAAGACCAAATGTATTGGCAGTGTCATGTTAGGAATTACAATTTCTGCAGTTTTAAGCACCAGGCACAATAAGGAAAATGTACGTCATACTGTCCCTAGAAATTTCCTGCCTGTTGCCTACAGGTTAGGCACACAGTTTAAATTATTAAATACTGAAACATTGTCTGGTTTAGGGGGGTCTGAAGACTGGCTGTGTAGTGATAAAACCTACTGATCATGTTGGGAAATCTAGTGCTGTATTTATCTTTAATAGAATCTTCATCATCCTGGGGTTGTAAATCTGGAGTGTATGTTTGAGACGCCGGACAGAGTGTTTGTTGTTATGGAAAAGCTCCATGGAGACATGCTGGAGATGATCTTATCAAGTGAAAAGGGCAGATTGCCGGAGAGAATAACAAAGTTTTTAATTACTCAGGTAAGAAATTAATTGTAGACCTAGAAGGAGATTTGAGGTCAATTGTTATCACTGTTTCTTATGTTTTGCTTTTGGCATAATTTATCTGTCTGTTTTATGAAAGCCTGAATGGTAGTATCAGAGATGGTAAGACAACTTTGTGTACATTATCTGATAGGTAGTAAACCATTAAGAGGACCTAGAACTAGACACATGTACAGCTGTCTGGTGGCTGGATGGAAGGGCCATCAAGCTACGGTTTCTCATAACCTTGAACAATTAAGCACAAGAAAGAGATGCAAAGCACTGACAGCAAACTGTTGAAGATCTGCACAAAGATATTTGAACCTCTTGAACTGCCCCATACCTAACCATTGCAGTTCATACTGTGTACTTTTGTGCTTATTTCCTGTGCTGAGATTGGATCTCAGCACTGCCTCTGATTAAATGAGTCTGGTTTCCTGTATGACTTCTGTTAACAATGTGATTTGGTGGTTTTTTTGGTTCTTCCTATTGTCATATTGTCATATTGCTTCTTTGGCTGCCCATAATACTGGTTTAAATTTAGATACACAATTGAGTAGTGAGCTACCCCAGAGTCAGAGCAGCCTGTGTTTCAGCAGTGAGGAAAAAGAAAGGAGTAGGAACAACAGTGTTATGGTGACAATTTATTATTTGGAGTAGAATGGATCAAGTTTCCTAGTTTTCAGGCTTTCATGGGCAAAACTGCGACCAGCTTCAGAATTTGGTTTCTTGCCTTCCCAGGTTCGTTCAGCCTCCTTGCCATTCCCTGCTCTAATATAGTGGGAAATTCTGCCAACCCCTGACCAGACACAAGGAATGGAGTTAAAGCCACAGGAATAGAATGGATATCTGTTACATTCTGTTGCCATGTTCTTGTGTGTGCAACAGAATAGAAATACATGCAACTTCCTTATGCTTTCCCTCCTCAGAAAATGCTTAAATAGGATCACGTAATACTTCTGTGAAATTTTTTGAGTGAATTTACATCTGGAAGGTCATTTTGCAAATGTTTCTACATCCAAAGATTTTACATCAAAAAAAATAAATGAGTACTTAGAACCCAGTTTTTAAAAAATGTCTCAAATATAAAGTCTTTGGAGAGGGAAAAATCATATTCCATGCAGTAAAACATGAAGAAAACTTGAGGCACCGCAAATAATAGCTGACACTTTTGCTTTTTCTTCTTTTTCCATTGTAGACATTCTTGTAAAAGGTACATTTTTGTTGGATTGTTTCTCTCTACACCAGTCCTTGCTTCTCTGAATACTAATATTGTCCAAACAATATAAAACAACAACAAAAAAGAACAACATTTAAACCTGAATTTCTTTCTGATTTGTTTCTTCACAGATCCTTGTTGCTTTAAGACATCTTCATTTCAAAAATATTGTTCATTGTGACCTCAAACCAGAAAATGTGTTATTGGCATCAGCTGATCCCTTCCCACAGGCAAGTAGAAAATGCCCTTTCTTAAGATAAATTGTTCAAATTAGTAAGTGTTAGCAGTGATTATTTTATGAACAAACAGAAAAGTGATTAGTGACGTGTCTGTATCTCCCCCAGGAACTACACAGAATTTTTAGATTTGAAAAAACTGATCACTTATTCAAAAAACTTTCCAAAGAAGACGTGTTTGAAAATCCTCGCCTGTTATTATTTGCCTAAAATATTCAACCAGATTTTCAAGTGTGATATAACTTCTTGTGCTATTGTTTCTAGTTTGCTCACCATTACAGCACAAATTACTCATCTGGTTGATTTGGTCCAGATAAGTGACAGTTTGCAAGCAGTCACAGGAAAGAGTTATTTTTCTGAAGGTTAGGGTAGAGCTTATGGAGAACAAGAGCTGCTTCTTTAGTTTTGTGAATTTAAATGCCAAGTAGATTGCAGAATATTTAAATACACGTTCTGGCTCATTCCTGTTTGTCTCATTAAAAGGTATTTGTATCAGCTCCTGTTACCTTTGATCTGCAGAGTTCATCTATAATCTCCTCCAACTCTCTGTATTCAAAAGGAGCACTATTGCTAATTTGTAAATAATACCAATATCAGTAACTGGAAAGGAAGGATCTATACTGAGGCGTTAAGTGAGAATTTTTAAGCAGCTAAATTTATTCCTCTGAAGAAATCAGACAATGAAGTTTGCAGAGAGGCAGGGTGTAACTAGGTCCACAATAACATAAAAGTGAAAGTTCAAGAACTAAAGTTTGTCAACTTTCTTGATTTAGGAAAAAGCCATATATTAAATGATTTTTCTGTTTGCCATGTTCTTATACTATGAATTAATAAGTATTACTTTATATTACTACTTTCACCAGGAGCCTGAGATGTTAGGCCCATCCAAAACTGTATTTCTTTCATTCTAAGCTGTCCTGTGTTACTGGTTTTACTGTGGTTTATTCATAGAGTGAAGGAATAGAGGAGATGCAATGGACTGGTAATCTGGTCTAATGTCTCGGTGGGATAAGGGTATTCCTCTCAGAGGAATTTAAAAAAATGCACCCTTGCAGGAACAGTAGAGATGCATCTTGCATCTAAACCGTGATAAAATTTCCTCAACTATGCATTTGATAATAAAAATAATGTCTGTTTTACTATAGCATTTTTCTATAAACAGGTAAAACTTTGTGATTTTGGCTTTGCTCGAATCATTGGAGAGAAATCATTTAGGCGTTCAGTTGTAGGAACGCCAGCCTACCTTGCTCCAGAAGTGCTGAGAAACAAAGGCTATAACAGATCTCTGGATATGTGGTCTGTGGGTGTCATCATTTACGTAAGCCTCAGTGGTACCTTCCCATTCAATGAAGATGAAGACATACATGACCAAATCCAGAATGCTGCTTTCATGTATCCACCTAATCCATGGAAAGAAATTTCTCATGAAGGTAATATCTGTTTGTGGCTGTTTTTATGTAAATGCTAAAAAAGAGTAGTTGTATTTTGCTTTTATATTTTTTCCCTGTACATACCAGTGGAAAAAAAAAAAGATTTGAAATTTCAAGGGACCATAATGTACCATAATGAGGCGTCTCTGGTTTGTGCTATCAGCTGTTTTAGACATTTCCTGCAGAGCATGTATAAACTGCATATGGCGTAATCCTCTAACATGGGATCTCTCCAGGAGGTGCTGAAGGAGGCACATAGCCACCTACAGATTGGATTGCTATAGAATCTTGTGGGGAACTTCACCTGCTGGAACTGGTGTTGCTTATATTTACTTCTGTACCACTTCTTTCAGCTCTAGTGCCTCTGCAGTCTTTTTCTCGTTCTACTTGTGCCAGTAATTTAGTTTCCATTGAGTAGGATGCTGTACCCTGATAGTCTTTCTGTGGAGAAGATAAAGACTGAACAGTGCCAAGCAGATGAGGTTTCAAGAACAGTGTGAGAAAGTGTCATGACTTTCTGCAGTGGGAGGGAAGGCTTGGAGATAACCAATGAGACCTTTGAAACTAGAGTTCTGGTCAATGGCATCAAAGACTTTTGATGATCAAATAACAATGTGAATAATTCACTATAAATGTCTTTAAAGAACGTAAATGAGTTCCATTAAAGCTGTCTCTAAACACAACTAAGTAGGGCATTTAACAAAAATATTAGTTCTGGTTTCACCAACATTTTCTTGTACATAACAAATATTTTCAGGCAGCTTGATTTCTTTGGGTTTGGAGTTTTTTTTAATCATTATCTTTACGTCCTTAACTGTTTGCAACATTGCTTCATAAGTCTTAAAGCAAAGAGAATATTATAAACATGAGATTTGTATCTTTTTTTTCTGAATTGTAATATGTACCAAATTGAATTAAAATATTGGCATTTGCAATTTCCATTATTTACAGTACAGTTTTTCTGGGTTTCAGGTGACATGTTTGATTTACATGTTAAGCGTAGCTTGAAGAAGTGTGCCTACTACTTACTATAATATATGTTATAGCTATGTGAGATTCTTAGCTGAAAAATGCTTTGAGAGCATTGTCTGTTGTTTAATCTCAGTGGCAGATGAAGTTTGATGAGATCTGTTGGAGGAGGGAGAGAAAAAAAAAAGCTATAAATCTGCACAATTACACACTGAAGTCCTCCTGAACCTCCACACACTTCTGATTTGTAAGCTGACAGAATCTGTTGGCAGCAGTGCTTTATCTGGTGCTAGAGATAAGCAAACAGCAATCAACACAGAAGAGGCTGCAAGAAATTGTCTCCCACAAGTTTCTACTGTAGTAGATAGAAGATCAATTTTTACATTCGGAGGTGAGGATTCCGTAGAGCACCTGCAGAAAACTCACCTACTAGGGTGTTAGCTCTCCTTTTATAGAAGCACAGCCTTCATTAAGAGTTAATGGATGCTGGGCTGCAACATGCAGAAGGGAGGGATATAACACACTTTAACAAATTACTAAGTTAAAACCTGCTTATAGGTGGTGATTTTATTATGTATTTTGAATTGCTAACTGATGAGCCACTCCGTTGTGGTAAACGAAAACCTGAAAAAAGTCTGAACAGATCCATTATGTTTAATGCAGGGAGTTGGAGTCTAGATCTCTGTTCAAGCATTACTTAATAATGCTGATTTTTAGAGCTCATAACTGAACTCAAACTCCACATTACCTAGGGGAAGTAAAGGAATGGTGTTCTCGTGTCAGCTACTCTGGTCCACACTCCTGTGCAGGTCCCAAGAGGGCAGGTGTGTGGGCCCTCTGCACCTGCTGGCTCCATCCAGTTTCTGTTATCTGTGACCATATAACATGGTTAAAATGGAAATCTGTACCCAGTGTCCTAACACATCTAATGTGGGTTACAGTTCTGAACAGTGCCATGATAAATGATGCTACAAGTGGTTGAAGCATTTAGAGGGAAACACAGATGATTTAAAAGATTTTTATGAAGTTGCTTACTCAACGTTGCAAATAAAAACAATTTGAAAAGGTATGTGCATTTAAATGTAAACTATAGTAGCATGAAGCTCATTTCAAGTTCGAATACAGTGAGGCTCATAAATTTCTCTGCACTAAGCGCTATAAATCTACAAAATTCAGACAGAGAATTAGTTTCAATCCCAACACGTTACATTTGTGCACTTGAAAATCTTCCTTTAGCTTGTCATAGGCTCTTCCAGCTTCCCAAACAGGTTAAGCTAATGAATTGGGTATTTGCCTGCCATATCTCTTCCATTATTCTTTTTGCCAATTATTATTAACCGTTGAACGTTTTTCAACAGAAGTTTTAACATACATGACTATGATTACTTTGAAATTTTTTTTTACTTGTCATATAAAAAGATCCATAATAGATTTCTTTTAAAGGCACAGTAGATTTCTTGTTTAACTATTTCCTGGAATTTGTATCAGCAATAATTCTCCCAAGAGGACAGTAATTATCATCAACTAGTTCTTCCACTCAAGCTTGTAAGGGGGTTGTGTCGCAGTGTGGAATATGATGGTGCCGCAGAATCTGACAAGGTCTTTTTAAATAAACATTGATCAGCCTATTTCTTTCAAGCTGGTATGACTGAAATTGCTGTTTGTCTTGAAGGATCTACACAGATATTTTCTTGCAAGAAGCATTATTCTTTGTTTTAAAATTAAAACAAAATTATTTAAGTGATTCTTCCTTATAAGAAAGAAAAAATGTTGAAGATCCAGCAGTTAGTCTAATTTAATTATTGACATTTAAAACTTGTGCAAATATTTGAGAGAACTTTAACACATAATAAACAACCACAGTCTTCACAGAAGCCTTCAACCAAAATTTTGCTGCACTACTATAGCATTAAAAAATGGAAACCAATATTGATTAGACAAGTATCATTGCAGATAACATAAATGCAAAATAAATATTATCTTTAATGCAGGTAAGAAAGATCTTTTTAAAGTGTTATACTTTGTGAATTTGAAAAATAGGAGTCATTTGTCAAAAGGTTACTGTAAGTAAAACTAATGTATCGATTCTTTCTTTCTTCATTGCTTACTGCTTTCTTCTCGTGTGTCCAAAAGACAGTGCTGGGGGGGCCAAGGTTTCATTAACAATGGAGTCTATGATTTGTACATTACAGCTAGATTTTAAAAGTGGTACCTTCCTCTGGAGACTATATTGCATGCCACAGTAACAGCAGGCAGAAAATGAGAATTTGGTGAACTTAGAAGAGCTAGGCTACCATCTAAGAGAATTAATATTACCTCTGATTTATGCATGCCAATAAAAATGCTCAGGTTCTCTGACCATATAAAATGCAATATGCAGGACTACTACTTCTTTCTTTACTGCTGAAATATGTTAGTACTGGTTGCTATGAATGTTCATAATATGATAATCCTAGAAACACTGGTGTAGAACAGTGAGAAGTAGTAGAAGGAATTACATATCAATTTAGGCAAAAAAAAAAAAAAAGGAATAAATGTTTATTCAAACCTGTTGCTGTCTATATCAACAATCCTGCTTGATGCACAAAGCAAGTGAATGCAGATAAGACAGACACCCTAAAACAGTGGGGGGGTGGGGGGTGGGTTACTTCACAACTGTACGAGGTTAGGATCAGAAACATACACCACTGATGTACCTGAGCTAGCTGCTTCTTAAACCACAGGAACTCGTTTGCTTGAAATTCTGTGCGTTTACTTTTAGTGGAACTGTAAATGTTTCAAAAGCTGTGGGTTTTTTACCTTTTTATGCAAGGTGACATCAGTTTAGATGAACAGGAGTGTCAACCAAATGTATTGCTGGTGTCTGTGCAACAACAATTTTATTAAAGGGCATTTAATTTGTTGCAGAATGGCTAATGAAAGCAGTGTTAGCAGTTTTTGCATGCCTGTTGCAAAAATCAACACCGAGGAAAGCAGAACAGCGCTCAAACCTTTTGTTTCTTGCTTATGACTATTACTCAGGCTTAAAGAGCCAAATTGGATGTAAAACTTCTTGTGACTGTAGTTATTTCAGCAGTCTTTTCAGACTATTAGTCATGTAAAAAACTTAAGAATAGTTCAACTCAGTTATTGCCATGTTTACTTCTATTTTTATTGTAATTGGAGAGAAATTAAAAGCTCATATTTTACTTTTTAGCAAAATCACATATTTCTTTGCATTTAATGGATAGTGCACAGATTAGAGTGAATGATACTGTGTTTATCACCACTTTGGTTTTAGTGCTCAGTAGGTGCTTTTTCTCCTATTGCCAAGCAACAGCATGTTGGAGCTGGAATGCAGAGGGTAGTAAAACTTTAAAAGGAAAAAAAAAAAAAAAAAAAAGATAGGTCATACCTAAACATTCTGCCTGGAAAAGCAGCAACAGTGGTAAAGTGGCCTAAATGTTCCCATTCTGTGTTCCTTTTTCAATTATTGATCTTAAGGTATAATTCAATTGGCTTTTAAAAATCTAAACTGCATTGAGAGGCGATAGATTTGTAAAAACATACGACCCATAACAGTTTAAACTGCATGATTATATAAATAATACACTTAAAATAAAATCTAGCAGGTTCAGAGAAAAAAACATATGGGAAGAAATTTTATTTTGGAGGAAAAGCGTGTCATGAATGTAATAGTGCAGTCTGTGTTATTCTCTTGACAATTACTTTTTCTGTAGCATTTTGTAGCAATTTTTAAAATAAAAATCTACAGTCACAAGCCAACAGAGAAGGCAGAATCCATTTGAGGATAACATTTTTGAGTGTTTAATGTCTTTCAGTCGCTATCAACAGTTCTGTCTTCTCTGCCACTCAGGAATGTGCTCTAGTCATTGACTATGACTCTTTTTTCTCCATAATGTGTCTGTCTGATGTCATAACATCTGGATTAATCTCATCAACTCTTACTGCTGAGGAATTCTAGCTCTTTTGTGTAATGCTTTGTCTGTCCTCTTCCCCATTAAAACTTAACCTATAAAAACCTAAGACCTTTCAATTTTTGTAGCGCTCAGAAATTTATTTTTTCCCAACTGATTATCCATTCAGAACATTTCTGCGAGCATCATTTCCCAAAGCGTAGCCCTCATGCACAA